CACACACACACACACACACACACACACACTGCACAGTTTGCAGACGCGTAGGTTGGAAGAACCCTCAACCAGCTCACCGCCCAGCGCTGCTCTCGATGCTGCGCGCTGATTGGCTGAGCTGGGTTGAAGGCGGAAGTCCACAGCGCGGGGGGATTCCCCGAGGGAAGTTCCCAACTCAACTGGGCTATGTAAAACACACACACACACTCACACACACACACACACACACACTCACTCACACACACACACTCTCTCTCAGCCATATCCTCTGCTGCTGCTCAGACAACTTTTGAAGACGCTGCGGTGGAGTGAAAACAACTCATTTGGACTTTTTGGAGCTGGTAACTCGGATGAAGGTAAGAGGAGAGACGCCGGGGCTGAGCCGGGTTGAGGAGTTTCTAGCCGGCAGCTTTATCCGCCACCGGTTGAATGAGCTAAAGCTAACCATTCACTTACACTGTAGAAAATACGGAACTATGGGGCTTGGAGTTTTACAAGGTGCCTCAGCAATGTGTCCTGGTGGAGTTCAGTGTCACTGCTCAGGCCATTTTACAAACTCCTTGACTTGGCTCCTGCTGTGTAAACATTCAGTGTTGCTATGACATGTATCATGAGGATCGAGCGGTAATTACTGACGAGCAGCTCTGGTATGAGCTCCTGCTTGTTTTGCACCACATCCACACTTCCATGTTCACTGTCGCTGCTGTAGATGTGGTGCAAACGTTGTCTGAACATCACAACAGATCGAAATGTAACAACTGCCCTGGCCAGTAGCTTTAGATCTGTTGTGCAAGGTTTTTGCAAATGCATTGGGCAACTTCTTTACGCTCATTTACATCTTCCAAGGCCTGTGTTGTTGAAATGTCAATGTGCTTTTGCATGCACTGGAACTTCATTTCTTCTTCTTTTTTCGGTATTCAGCAGATATTAGGAAGTGTTATCACCCAGTGTTGGCTCACAGAAATCAACACGATACTTTGACTTTTATTTGTTTTAAGAATTTGACTAATGTGGTGCAAAGATGCAAGAAAACCAGCAAAAAGATTCACACAGTTTCTCAAAAAAATTGCTCTCATAAAAATTGTAAACAAATTGTTTCAGATTTCAAAAAAAATATTTTGTGGTTTCACTCTCAGGGCTCATGTCTACTGTGTTCGTGATGATTGTGGAGCACACGGCATGGAAAGGAACATTGGAGACCAGCTCAACAAAGCTTTTGAAGCTTATCGCCAGGTCTCCATCGAAAAGGACAATGCTAAAAAAGAGCTGCAGAAAATGGTAATTTAAGGAGAAATACTTTTCCCAGTTGTGTGTAAATTCAGCCAAACATTAGCAGTTTGGGTGAAGTGATTCGCCACAGAGCAGCTTGCACTGTTTCCTGAAAAAGTCTTTGTTTGTCACTCACTGAAAGTGAGTTTGCACGTTTGAGTTTTGTCTAATGGTAAATAGAAATAAATTGGTTTTAATTATAACATCTGTAGATGAAAATGTGTCACTTTCTAATGTATTGGCCTCAACCTGATTTCATTTATTGGTGCTAAAAAATAACAGAAATTACATTTTTACAGACTGACTATTACGAGGGATACACTCAAACACTTCAGAAGCAGATAGAGGACCAGCAGCAGTTGATTATAAAACTTCAAGCTAAGTTGACAGCAACAAGGCAACCATCAGCAGGTTAGTGAGCCTTATCAGACCATCTCCCTGCTCATATTTCAATGAGATCATTTACTCCCGCATCACATCTGATTCTTTTATTGAACAAGATTGGCATAACTGACCCTGAATTTGTTCATTGTCACTGTTTTGAATTCTTAAGGAGAAATGAAATGTGAGCCCTGCAACCATCTCCTCGATGGGGCCAGTGCCTATAGGATAAAACAGTACCCGGTATGATTGCCGTCCTATACTGAGCTTTTTCTGTGTCTATACTGTGGGAAAATGTCTGAATGATGACTCCAAAACAGGTTTTTCTTCATTCTTACAGTTGAAAATACACATAAGCATATATACACAGCTTCCTCTCGCACACAAACACACACTCTGTTCGTACTTTTGCTTGATGTTGCTGCACTTGTGTTTACGAGAGAGGAACTCATTAGGTTAGATGGTGAATATAGCATTAATTATCAGGCTTGAAAGAGAGTTTGACCTCATGCGATTGATACTATCTGATTTTTTGCACTGTAACATCTGAGCTTCATCTTTTAAGTTACTTTGTCTTTTTTCTTAGTACCTCGGTGTAAGATAGATCCACTAACATTTATTCCTAGTGCCGCTCCAAAGCAGTTTACATATTACATACACTTTATGATGGTTGAGGGAACTTCTGTCCTTGTTCAGGCAAGCGGCCGATGAGAAGGGAATGCCCTTTGAGTTTTTCATGCTTCCTTTTAAATGTTTAAATGTAACCAAAGTTTGCACTGCTGCTGTAACAGGATCCATCCTCTTATTTACACCACACAAGGTGTATCCACTTTTACTTCACCAGATGGTGCTAGAGGATAATATCACTGCACAGTTGAGCAGCTTGAGCTTTACTGTTCATTATTTAACTGGCCAGGAAACATTTTTCACGAGTAAATAAATCTTAATAAACCTGCAGATGTGTTAGCAATATGTCCGTGGATATTTTGTGGTAATGATTTCTATAAATGCAATATGCCTTTTTTTCAGGAGAATATGGGCTCTGTTGCTCTTTCTTCTAAATTACCAGTCAACAGCAACCTTGACTAGTATGTGTCAGCTTCTTCTTTACTTTTTTTAAATCATAGAAAGTACAGGTCAAGACTGGATTTTTTTTCTAACTCTTTATTTATTTATTTGTCAGCAAGGACATGCTGGATGTATTTGAAGTAATTCAAGGGAAATTTCGGCAGATTCGGTCTCTCACACAAAGACAAAAAGATCACCTGAAAAGATTCCACGGAGGAAGTGATGCATCAAATGGTAATGATAATATTCTTCAAATACATTATCAAGAATTTTATGCAAACTTCAGTATTTTTTATTCCATTACTTAAAATACATTGTGTTGAATTGAAATAGATGTTTAATGTCAAATCAACCTATGCTATATTAGTTTTAGTGTTGTTCCTTAAAATTATTATACAGCAGCACCTTAACTAAGACTGTACTTGAGCGCCTCATTGTCCTTTCAAACTATTACCAGCCATCTCTGTAGAACATTGCATGGATAAACAATTAACACACAATTTAATTTGATGATTCAATGTAATGCCTAAAGCTGGCTATGGGCACAGGATGTATGATCTTTAATATAACATTTATATTTCAATAAATTTAACGTGAAAGGTCTGTACATATTCAGAAGACTAGTGTGACATGTATTTTATGTCTCTGAAGCTTCACTGACAAGCTGAAATGTCCTTAAAGCCAGAACTGAAACGCTTCAACATGTTGACTGAGATAGAAAAATGTCAAATCTTTTCCTGCCGTCTGATAGATCAGCAGTTCTCCATGCCCATCCAGTGCACAGACCGTACAGCAGAGGCAGGGAGACCCTTCCCCTCAGTGCTCACATCAGCAGTGGATATCCCACCCCCGCCCACGTCTCTAGCGTCCCGCGGCACCAGCCCTGAGGACCGAGACTTAGTAGACTCTCTCACCAAACTTAGAGTCAAATTCCCGCCCTCTGCAGACAGTGAATATGACTTCCTCAACAGTGCCCCAGACAGACACATTGGTCTCACCATGCCTCTGAAGCCACCGCTCAGTGGTGTCCCCTCCGCAATGACAGAGGAGGAGCCCGTGGAACTGCCCATGCCTTTTGTCTACCCTACGTCCCCCTCCCACTCAACATCATCTTCGCTCTCCCAGGAGAGTGTGCGGGGACCCCAGCAGGTGAGAATCACAGGAGAAGGTCTGAGAAAACTAGTAGCAAATTATCAGTTTATGATTGGTCTTTGCTAATGGAGGAGTGAAACGGTGTGAAGTCCCCCCCCAAAAAACTCCCCTCTGGGTTTTTAACTTGAAATGTAATAATGTGTGCTGATTCTTTCTTTTTTTTTTTTTTTTTAACTCAAGCTCTGATGCTCTGGTTATATTTGGCATCTTTGCTGAAAAGTGTGAGCCAGATAGAAGCACAACACAGTGTCTGAATTTTATTTGCTGATGTGTATAAATGCCCAATAAAAATTGTGAATGACATTCAGCAAGCTTTAGAAGTTGGTCCAGTTTTTCATGATAAGATTATTTCCCTGGATTTATCAACATGGACATTTAGAATAGAAATGATGGTTCTGATAGCTTGGATGAACACATAAATAGTAAGGCCCTTTGCCTTTAGTGTTTCTGAGTGTTTGTGCAGCCTTTTGGATTGACAGAGGACATTAAAGCAACAGATACTTCAGCTTGAGGGCCAAGTGGTCCAGCATGAATTTAATATAAGGATTGTTTAGAGCATGAATAATATATTGTTTTTGTTTGGTTCGTCCTGCTCTGCAGCCTCTCTGGAGCCCTGAGCTGTGTGATGCAGTTGACGTGGGGACAGAGCTGGCGACGCCTCAGAGCAGCAGTCCTGATAAATGCGCTTTCTGCAATGCTGTGGTTCCTCAGGACCAAATGAACAGCCACCTCTACTCGCATTTCTCTCATAAGAGTGAAGACGACAATTGACAGTGTAAGCAGACTGATGGGCCGAGGCCTTTACTCCTTCAAAGACTTTACTGTACTCATGGTCTGCCTGACTGCCAGGAAGTACACGCGCTGTGCTGGATTTGAAAAGACACTGCAATAGGATTTGAATCCATTTATTTAATATTGAAGAATTGAATGGTACACTTCTTTACCCATTATATTTTTTTAATATCTTGCTGAGATTTTACTAAAGCAAGTGATGATGATGCATAATATGGTCTATATGAGCAAATAAAACCGACATTTACTCTTGCAACATTTTTATCATTTGAATCGTTTCCAACATGTGAACAGAAAACATCACAAGACATTCTATCTGTGAACAAGACATCAGGTGGAGAATGTATGTATCTATTTACTTTCTTGTACAAATGAATATATATATTTTTTTTCTAAAACAAATTGCATCAAAAATACGACATTTTCTTATAGAGAGACAATAATTATTTTTGAAAATTTGATTTCTGCCCTTTCTTTATATTGGCATCATATCTACAGAACAACCATATGTTATGAATTAGACATGCCAACAATATGCATCAAATCACTCAATCCGGCGGTGATTAGCGCTATTTTCACATGTTTCCTATTGTTCCTCTGAGTCGTACACCAGCATAATTTGAAGCATCTGTAAGTTGTTATTGGTGCAGAGTTGAACAATTATTTATAACTTTGAAATAAGTTTAAAAGTTAGCATGCCACATGCTTATTAAAATGATCAACACAGATGGCATTAGGCACAGGCTCAGTATTCAATTAGTTGCCCAATTACCTTGCTGTTTATATAGTGATGGTTTTTCCTGATGCAAAATTCTAATGTATTATATTCTAGCAGTTTTACATTTTTACTCAAATTATGTTCTAAATATTTTTATAACAAGATACTCTAGGTGTTCCTTATAATTACATTATATTACATTATAGGATAGAATTTATTAAGCATGAAAATGTATGAGAAATACACAAACAATTAGTAGTTCAGTGAAGCAATGACCAGTGAAATACAGTTTATCATAATTTGGAAATAGAACAGATGATGTGTCAGTCACTGTCTGTTCCCTGTGTGAAAAACATTTTTTACAGTATGTGTACAGCAATCATTTGACTAAACCCTTCTACACGGCAGCTTAGCCTTTTATTTCTGTAGTATTTATTCACACCTCTGCCAACAATTGCAGTGATTTTCACCGTTCAGTGTGAAGATGTTTAAAGAAATGGGGACGCTGTGAGTGTTGAACACTTGGTTGTGCGGCGAGGACCTCGCAGCCCTTCAGCTATGGGCTGGTAACACTTGTGCTGGGGTAGATGAGCTGGTGTGAAGTCTGCAAACAACCTTTTTTTTCCCCCTTTACATGTATAAGGCATCATAACTAATTTAAAAAAAATCAAACAAGGCTTATTAGACCGATTGATTTGTTATTTCAGCCTCAACTTAGTGTTGAGCATTTCACTGTTTCATAAATTACTCAGGAGGGTGTAAAAAAATATGATGTTGTAATTTATTTTTATATTTCCAATTTATGAGTCACTGAAAATAGAAGAGCATTACTCAAACTCACTGTATCGTCTACAAAAGTAGAAAACTGATCCAACATGCCATTTGGCTTAATTGCAAAGGTGAATATTACATATTTATTTAATCTAGTGTGCTACACATCATATGCAAACCACACCATTTTATTTTTTATTTCACATCACATCATGGATACTGAGGGGAGAATTTAGTCTGATTCTTTTGGCAAGTACATATCCCTAATGATGCTTTCTGGTTAATCTGTGAAGAGTTGAACATTGTGCAACCTGCAAGCTTTTCTCTCTGGGATCATGAACAGCTGCTTGCTCATAATTATGTTGTCATTCATTGTTATTTGGAAGAGGAAACTCATAGTGACAGCTAGGATTTTTTTTTACGTATCTGCACTCTGTATTTTCTTGCTTGTGCAGTTTTAAGAAAACTCTGCCTTACCTCAGAGCCGTTGCGATTGCAGTCATTTCCAGTAAAATAACAGATATGTGTGTCATCCCTCTCTTTGGGACATTTTCTTTTAGATTTGAAATAGATTTAAGAGCTGTAAAAAAAAAAAAATGAAAGAAGACCCAAAAAAAAGAGAGGGATATGGATTGAGATGGTGAAGTAGCAGGCTGATTACAAGGTGTCAAAATTGCCAGGAGCAAGAAGGTGAAAGCAATCAGGGGTGAGAAGAGTGCAGCATTCGTGAGGGGCAACTAATTATCCATCTCATTTGTAGAGAGAAGCATTTGAGGCAGCTCTAGCCCACTGAATGGTGACAGATTGGTGCGGAGGAGAGGGGAGGTGTTAGAACAATGGAGCCCAGCTCACCATCATTACTGCATGCTAATAAGCAGTGTTTCTGCACCACCAGTCGGTGCTGCAGAGAGTTCGGGGAGACGGGAAGTCACTGGCTTTAGGGGACCACAGCTATTTCAAAGGAGAGATGAGAGAGGGGGGGTACGGGGGGGAACTGAGGCACGTTATAGCTGTTGGCACTCCACCACTGCTTTTTTCAGCTTGGAGGTTATCGTATGCACAGACTGATCTCTGTGGCCTGTGCTTTCAGCTTGTGTTTGTGAAGTGAGCTGATTGTACTGGAGTGTTTTTAAGTAGAATGAGTGGAATAATGGGTCACTGTATGATGTACTGCAAAATATACATGTGGTAATTTCATGAAAAAGTTTTAATAAGAATAGAAGAACTTGAAAGTTACTGCCTGAAAAGGCAGAAACTTTATTACATTAGATATCCAACTATGTGATCTAAATCTATTTATTAGAAGCTGTAATTAGTACTGACTTGACACCATTCGATACAATTACTATTTTTCTTCTGATGCTTTTAATGTAATTTTGTTTATATTTTTTGCAGACATATTTTATGAGGTTGCAAAGCAGGAAAATATTTATTTATCAAATTGAATTCAAGCTATATGGTTATAATAATACATCTAAGTGAATTCAAAGTGGTCAAAAATTATGCAGTTGTCCTTTAATTTGGCTGTCTTTGTTAATATAATGGTTATATAGCAGTACCTATATTTTCATAACTGACATTTTTACAATATATTTACAAACAGTACATTCAGAAAATATTCAGCCCGCTTCATATCATTTTTCCATCTGCAATCTGCACTCAGTCACTCATAGTGACAAAGAGGAATTTTTTTTGAAAGTGAAAAACTAATGCAAAAATAATCTGATGCTTTGCTATGTCATTTGAAATTTAGCTCAGCCACGTCTCATTTGTCTTGATTGATTGATTGGACATGAAAGACAAACACCTCTCTACATCTCTGGCTGCTGATAGTATACGTCAGATCAAAAGCATCCATTACGTCGAAAGAATTGCCGGCAGAGCTCAGAGACAGGGCTGTATCTTTGGGCACTGGCTTCTCTGATACTTGAATGGAAGATGTTTAGAGCAGCCAGAAATCCTCTGATAACAGGACGCCCCACCAAACTGAGTGGCCTGGGTAGAGCCTTAAGGTGACCGTTGGATTGACGGTCAGAGCTCCTGTGTGGAGAAGGGAGGACCATCAGACTGTGGGAAATAAGATCCTCAGGACTGATGAACAGAAGTGACCCTAAACACACAGTCCAAGAACAGGAGTGGCTCAGGAGACAACTATGAAGTCCCTTGGGTGGCCCATGCTGAACCCTGGTTTGAACCCAATCAAACATCTCTATGGAGACGTAAAAATGTCTGTGCACTGATAGTGCCCATCCAACCTGACAGAGCTTGAGAGGCTCCGCTGAGAACAATGGAAGAATATTTTCAAACTCAGGTGTACAAAGTAGTGTGCATGCATACCCAAGAAGGCGCTTCAACCAAACAGCAAAAGGTCTGAATACTTATGTTAATGCAAAACTTTCTGATATGTTGTTCTTGCTTTGTCAGTATTTCAGTATCTTCTGTTCAGTGTGGATTAACACATTTTAAATGTGGTTTAGACAAAAGTCAAAAGTGAAGGGGTTTGAATATTTTATGAAACTATAGTAAATAGTTTTTGTATTCACATCGGCATCACATCTCTGTGAACTTACTTTCCTGATATTTACTGATTTCAAGCATCACAATATAATAGGCTAGTAATTAAAATATGTAAATTCCATGAAACAAACCTTCATAACAAACAAACATATCCTTTTTCTTATTGGCATAATTAATTATTTCCCACTATTATTCCTCGAAATGTTATATTTCGATTTATTCAAACAATGTTTATAAGATTACGCCACTGCCAAGAACACAAGCAGGGGAAAAAATAGTTGTTAAAGGGTTTAATCAAATGGAAAACAAAACAGAGAGATAGCAAGTGGATTAAGGTCACCTGGCTAGAATGCCCTCTCCACAGCAATGTCATTTAGATAATTAACAAGTTAGGAGGGAAGCATATTCAACTGTCTGTGCATTGGTCACCGTTGGCATGAGAGACTGCCAACTCTCATGGCGTCGCGAGCTGAGAGTATCACCTCACAGTTTTCTTGCCATGCGTTGGGCTCCGGCGTGCTCTCTGTGCAGAAGTGGCGCCGTTGACTTTGTGTGTTCGATTAAATGTGTTGAAGCCGTCGCTGCCTGTGCGCGCAAAGTCTCCGAGCAGCCCCGCACCGTTGTGTTCGTTTCAGTGCTGGTCTGAGAGCCCCTGATTTCTGGAGCAGAGATTTGGCAGTCACAGCAAGTGATGACAGAGGCAGTGGTGAGATCGCACCCGGAACCCCAGAGGAGGCTTACATTTCAGGCGGATGAGAGACTTGGTTCAATACACAGAACACAAAAGCACTGATCAGTGGAGCTCGTTGGTGCCATTGTTCTAAAATTCAGAAGGCTACTTTTACATGGGAGGGTTGCACATGTTTAAACTACTGAACTTTTCTAAGTCGTTTGGCTATGAATTAAAAAATTGCAGTATTGAAAAAGTCTGGCTCTCAAACATGTGCCATCCTCCTGTTCTTGTATTGTCACGGTTAAATCAGTGTCGGGTTTTTTTTCCTCTTGACACATGGGGGTGGGATTGAGCATGGGGGATGTTTGTGGAGCAGCGACTCGCAATTCAAGGGTTAAGGCAGCATGAAAGAATCCATTCTCGGTTTAATGACCTAGCCTCGCCGGGCGAGGACGACAGGGAACGTACTCTTGACTTGTACTGAATTTGCCAATTAACACCTCCAATAACAGGCTGCCTCTGAACATCACCAATGTAGAGAGAGGAGGAGCATCAACTCCCATGCACTTTGTTTTTC